CTGTTGAGGCTCTTGAAGCATATTTCAACATACTAACGTATTTCCCAATGAAACGGTCTTAGACGGAAGAAATTTGAAATTGAATAGAAATGAGACAGGAATTATGAGACAACCCAATATCTATATACCTATAGACGTGCATTGACGTTTCTAATCAAAAGGGGCATTCAATTTAATGGTTTGAGGTTGTGGACGGTGGAGTTTCCTATCGTTTTCAACGATGGCGCAGAAGCTATCGTAGAAGTGAGGGAAGAGATGCCCTTCAAACCGTCATATTGTAGTGACATTTTCTATTATTACTATTATAGAAAGGATTTTGCCATAGAATTTGCCTCTTGTCGCTGTTGTGTTTGTTGTTGTTCTTCTAATATGTCCTCTTGTTACGGAGTTTCGTACGTTGCTGTTCCTTGGTTCAGGTGGTACGTTCGCCTAGGTTGTACTTGATGTCATTTTGCATATTTCACGTAAAATTTGATGACATGTCTATATATACGATTTCTGTTCGGATTGTGTATCCCATTTTATGGGGTCTGTGGGTATCTTTCTCGGTTATTGATCCATTAGTGAGATCGTATATCAATACTTGTATCTTGATGATAATTAAAATTAATAAATATATATTTATTACAACGTTCATAACGTTATGTTAATTCATAAAAAAAGAAATCGTGGCAAGCGAATAGAGATGAGTGTTTATTTTAGTTTTTGTACCGATAGCGTTTTCGTGAAGTGCGGCCTGAACTTCGCACCTTGACCCAGACCTTATTACGAGGTTCGCTGTTGTTCAGGGTGACCACAAATTACGGAACAAGAGCGTACTGCAAACAATTTTGAAATTGTGAAGCGAAGTAGATTTGAATTCGCAGTGTTGCGTAATTTGTATTTTACGATGTGCCCAGCTCTTTTGATTTAACCGCTCAGGATTTATTCAGTTTGGTTTGTTCAGCCCCTAGCTCTTCATGAAATATGACTCGCTTGTTCGTCAAGGTGTCTGGTGGTGTTACGTTTGCCAAAGCGAGATCAGGGCATCTTCGGAAGCCTGCAACAACCACAAGTGCCAAGGGTCGCCCCTGTTTCAGATAATTTTTATGTCCAGTTTGGTGGATTACCAAAGGAAGACTGTACTAAGGACGTGCAACAAGGATTTATTACTACGTTTAGCACAAGTATCGACCACAATAATACATTCACGGGGTTTATATACACAATATGTGGGCGGTCCTCAGATATCGTACCGTCGCTGGACCGTAGGGGGCCAGCGGTGGTACTCAAGTTTGGGGAATGAAAGAGCGGACCGCGCCAACGGCAGAACCTACTTGATTGCACACTTATGATACCGCCGGGTCATGCCTGCGGTATCATCTCAAGAGATACTCATATCAAGTTATGCCTATGGTTAATAAGTTGAACTAGCATGTTATCAATCATTTGTATGAATCCTAGTTCTATTAGGAGTTATAGGTTGTGTATCCACAACACTGGGGCGGGGCGAAATGAAGCGGTAGCTGCAACTGTAATAAAATCTAACAAAATAAGTGACTGGCTCAGCACATCCTGAATTGAATGGTGAGATAGATTTCTGTTCTGATATGACGACGATTGTTCGTCCACAACATGGGGCAAGGCGAAAATAAGCGGTAGCTAGAAGTACAATAAAAGAGCTATGTTACTTGAATTTTCTAAAACAATTAAACACAATAATCAAGATGAAAATGGTTCCAATGATTGGAGTTGTTCCTCAGATGCTGCTCGGAGTGTGTAGACGTGGTAGGATGTCCATTTATTCTTGGCTTGCTGCGCTGACTTCTGTTGTCGCAGTCGAAATATTCTTTCCCGAAGTTGTGGCTGTAGTATTCTCGTCCCTTCCGGTGCGATAAGGCAGCAGTAGCAGAGCACGTGCGGAAGACTTTGACGAGCTGTCGAGCTTCATACAGTCCTGCTTCCTGCTATCGCTCGTTTGTGTTGCTTGCTGCCGGTGTTTCCTTCTAGACGTTCGGCTAGGCATGTGTTTACGGCGTGGATCTACCTTACGCGTAATGTTTCGTTCCTGTCCTTCAGTTGCGGTAGAGATTGGCACAACGTTGAAATGTGTGCTGCGCACAAAATCGTCTTTGATTTTGGCAGAGGTAACCTTGCTCGATCCGGAGATCGTGTATCCGAATATAGTGGGGGTTAAAATGAGTCCTGATGGAAGGATCATCGCTGGTGTGTCACAGCATAAGACTTGATTGAGAAGATCCTGTCCTATTATAAGATCAGGTGTAATCTCGGACGATTCAAGGCTGCATTGAGCAATTGAGAAGTTTCTTTCATTGATGAAGCGTTTGTCGGAATGAGATAGTTGTGCTGTCCATGTGGGTGCTGTTAGCTTAGGTTTGGAGTGAACCACCTGCCGTATCAACTTTCTGGAGGTGCAGGCTTTTCAGAGTTATATTAACTTCTTG